GCACAGCTCACTTCAAAGTATTCGTTGCTATTTCTCCTTTCAAAATGCTAGAAGCCAGTGCCTGCCTTGTTTTTTTCTTTTCTTGCAAGGGTGCGAACACCACCTTAAGCGAAGCAAGGTCTTAGGCCATCCTTGTCAAGTCCTCCTGGTCCTAAAGAGTGGCCTCAAAAAGGCCAAAATGCTTTGCTTGCTTAGCCCTGCCCAGGTTCCACCGCCCCTCAGGGCCTCAAAGCATCACCAAGCATATTTCAGCATCTCTCTGTGCTAAACTTGAAAACGCAGCAGCAGCACCTGCCAAGCTGCCAGGCAGGGTGGATCTTACTGCCAGCCTGCTTGGGAACCGGAAAAACCGCCTTGCTCGGGCTGGGAACGGGCTGTTCCCCTCTCGGTTGCGAGGGAGGCGCAGCGTGGAATTCTGGGAACAGGTGTTTGGCTCTCTATTCTGGGGGCGGCTGGACTTGGCCTAGCCGGGAACAGCCAAGAGAGACGTGGCACAAACACAGAAGCTGGGGCTGCAGGGTAGCTAGCTAGCCGCCACCACCTTGTGCTCCAATCCTCCCTGACTGGATTCATTTGCATGAAATTTACCATCCGAAGGGTCTCTGGTTAATTCCACAAAACACATTCTTCTCAAATCACAACCGGAATTTATGACATTTGTGAATAGGGTTGCCAGTCTCCAGGTGGTGCCTGGAGATCTCCTGGACCCTGACCCTAGGCAACAGAGATTCGTTCTCCTGGAGAAAATGGCTGCTTTGGAAGATGCTGAGGTCTCTCCCCTTCCCAAACCCCACCCTCCCCAAGTCCCACCCCCCAAAGCGCCAGGTATTTCCCAACCCAGAGCTGGCAACTGTATTTGTGAATCTGCACAGTTAAATCACTTGGTTGAGAGAATTACGTTTTTTGGATATGTCATACGGTTACAATTGAAGGCTCTCATCTTAGTTAGTCGGCTTATAAGAGCTTAGGCTACAGATCTGCATATACATTTCAACCGAGCTTTCAATCTGATTATTGATTGTATGTATGTTTAAAGAAACCACCTACACTATATAGCTGATAAGACAAGCCACGGAATTCTCTCTTTGAAATGGGAATGATCCCATTGTGATAATATGCGGGATTTTGCCTGTAGAGAGATGTGTAGCATCTCCTACATGGTCCCTGGCAAAGACGGCCAAGCCACCTACAGTTAGGAGGACGAGATTTAGCCAACCCCACCACTGTTAACGGTGCACCCAGTGGCACTGCTTTATTTCCTTTCAGGAATGAATAAACCCAGGTCACAAATATGGGAGAAAATGAGGCATTCATAAACATCGGGGGGGGGGGCTGCTGCCTCCTACCTAGCCGCTCCAGCCATTGAGAACTGTCACCAGGACTCAAACATCAGTCTCTCTGCATAGCCTATGACAGAATGTTAACTTAGTGTTTGAGATAAGTCGTCAATATTTATGTATTGATTAAAAACATTTCTACCCCACCTTTCCTTGTGGTGCAAGGCGGTTTAAGAGATAATAGGAGATAATGCCGATCACTCAGGCTGGTGCGAGGTATCAATGAGAGTGCAGAACTAGGGTTCGGGAGACTCATTCAAATCCTCACTCAGCCATGTAGCTTGCTGGGTAACCTTGAGCCACTCACTCTCTCTCAGTTTCACTTTCAGAGTTGTTGTGCAGATAAAAAGGAGCCACGGAAGGAACTACGTATACTGCCCCGAGCTCCTTGAAGGAAGGGTGGAATAAAAATGGATAAATAGAAACATAGATAGAGGGATACTATAAAGGAGGAGGAAGAAGAGGAGGAAGAGGAAGAATTGGATTTATACCCCACCCTTCACTCGGAGTCTCAGAGTGTCCTACAATCTCCTTCCCTTCCTCTCCCCGCAACAGACACCTGGTGAAGTAGGTAGATCTGAGAGAACTGCTCTTGAGAGAACAGCTCTGAGAGAACTGTGACTGATGCAAGGTCTCTCAGCTGCCTGCATGTGGAGGCGTGGGGAATCAAACCC